GATAGCTATACAAGCGCCCTCTCCTATTTGACCATTTAAATCCAGCCCTGGACCACCTGCTCTTGTGGCGCAATCGGCAGCGCGTTCGGCTGTTAACCGAAAGGTCGGTGGTTCGAACCCACCCAGGAGCGAAAATTTTTATAATTCTTTTAGTTAAGTAGATAGTTAACTAAATAGGACAAAAGGACAGGAGAGAGAGTCCCACCGTACTCAGAAGATCAATGTTTCCAGAAAAGAAAGAAGCAGAGAAAGAAAGAGGGGTGAATCTTTCTGAAAAGTCCGAATCCCTCAAAAAGTGTCGAATGGGGTACTTGAGTGAACTTGATCAAGCAAAAACTTGATCTTCTCAAAATGATAGTTGCTATTCAACAAAGAAATTCATTGAACTGAAAAAAAAGCATGATTGTAACACGAAAGTGAATATTAAAAAATTACTACAAGAAGTACAATATCAATAACATTTATTCACTAGTACAAGAGAAACAAATTCACAATACTGCGAATTGTAAGTACCAATCTTGATCTAGCTTTAGTACACGGAAACAAGGGTTCTGTGGAGAAAATTAAGGTCAAATTATGGAGAAAATTAAGGTCAAAGTGAGATAAGTGTCTGACCCCCATCAGAGAATCAGAGTTTGATGACTCTTCTCTTTTCCTTCATATCTCAAGTTTCAATTGATTGATCAACTTGTGGTTAGTTTTAAAATATTGCTTATGAAATTTCGCTATATCAATGTAAATCATACCATAATGAATAAAGTGTGTTCCTCTCAAGGAATAGTGCTAAATAGGAAACAAATGCATTTAAAATCAACTGAATATCTTACAAATTGTAGAAGATATTTAAGATATTTAAGATATTCAGTTGATTTCGACCTAATCCGTTTTCTATTTCACACTATTTCTTGAGGGGAACACACTCTAATAAGCAAGAGATGTAGGAAGCTGGAGATGTAGGAAGCAAGAGATGTAGGAAGCAGGAAATGCAGGAAGCAAGAGGTGCAGGAAGCAAGAGGTGCAGGAAGCAAGAGGTACAGGAAGCAAGAGATGGGACTTTATCTCCCCTGTAGTGTGACAAAAGACTAATAAAGTGTTTATCTCAAATAAAATAGTCTCCTGTTTTCAAAAACGTTTCAACTTTTGAAAACTGTTATCCATATTTACTTGTTACTTGGGAACTTCAGAATCGGACTATGTAGATGATAAAAACTAGAGACAAAACTACGATACTTTTAATTTGAATCGTTTAGAAAACGGATTGACAAGAACATACAGTACTGGACAATGAAATATCATATTTAAAAAAACAATCGTCACTTTCGCGCGTCTGTAACTCCCTTGTCTTTGAGATTCAACGATTAGTGTTATACATTTTCTACAAGCTCTTTTCAAGGGCTACACAATGATAATATTAATATTTAGAAATACGGTAAAGACAAGGGAGTTACAGACGCGCGAAAGTGACGATCTTTTTTCAAATATCATATTTCATTGTCCAGTAGTGTAGGTTGACCAACCGAGTGCCCGGTTTGTTCTCTTCGTCGATCGTCACTTTCGCGCGTCTATAACTCCCTTGTCTTTATCGTATTTCTAAATATTAATATTACCATTGTGTAGCCCTTGAAAAGAGCTTTTAGAAAATGTATAACACTAATAGTTTAAACTCAAAGACAAGGGAGTTACAGACGCGCGAAAGTGACGATCTTTTTTCAAATATCATATTTCATTGTCCAGTAGTGTACTTTATTCATTATGTCTTATTATTATTATTATTATTATTATTATTATTATTATTATTACACATTATTATTCATTATGTCTTTCTCAAATACTTTTTGAAGCATTCAATTTCGAGCAATAGCCATCAAGCTTTGTTTGAATTGAATTTGACCGTCTTTTGTTCTCTGTCATTATCAACCTTGTTTTTCGTTCCTTTTTTTATTTTCAATCACCAATGTTCAGGGATCACTTTTGCACCTTTTACAAAGCTAATTCTTAAGCTTTCCGAAAGCCATTCTCAAAAATTTCACTTTCTAGCCATTATCGGACTAATAACGATGGAATTGGATTAGAAAAAATTCAAAAAAAAATTGTTTTTAATAACCTTTTCATTGAGAAAACAAATTGATTCATTAAAAATTGAAAAGTTTGGAAGTTTTGCGCAAATTTGTACCCGCTTTTTAAGCCACTTCAACGCACTTTTCTATTTTACTCTATAATTCGACTTCCAATTAACAAATCGACTTATGGAAGTTTTACTCAAATTTGTACCCGCTTTTTAAGCCTGTAATGATGGAGAGAAAATTGCACATCACTAATGAGAAAGTGGTTTATTTTAAGCAAAAGTAGGGGTTTTTTAAGGGTCTAAAGTTCTGTTTTTTGAGTTTTTGGACAAGGTACAAGAGTTTATTAATGAGAAATTTTGAAATGAATGGATTACGTACAATTTTTTGCATTTATTTCACTGATGAAGATAAAATGATAAAATGATAAAATTATTTTTTTGCATTTATTTAACTGATGAAGATAATTAACAAATTCGCGACGATCGGTTGGTTAGTTCAAATTTGTCAGATCAAACATGTGAAAAGGTCAGATCAAACATGTTAATAGGTCAGAGCAAATGAAAATTTGTATATAAGGGTTTTCGGGGATGAAGAATCCGAATCTGGTATTAATTTTTGGCTATAGCAACCCCAAGTTCTCCAAATAGAAGTGCTCATTTCAGCGATTTCCAAAAGTTTCCAACTTCGACATTACAATCAAGATTTTCTTATTTACGTAATCGCACAGCTTCTGGCACAGAGTTTTGATATATATGCACTATAAACTAAAAAGGTTTTACATCATTTTGATCACTTTCGATTTAATTACCCAGCTTTACTTTAACAACATAAAATCTAGTGTTTGCGTAGGTATTTCTCGTAAAAATTTCGATTGCATTCGGTTTTTCCACCTCAGAAAACCGTTGAGTGCAGATTTCAGCTTGTTCTAACCCATTTTCCAGTTAAAGTACGCGCTGCTACTATTTCCGGTTACTGTAGTTGAAAGGTAAAACCGGATTCCGAATTCCGCACCCCAAAAAATCTAGATAAAAATTAGCAGATCAAGCATAGAACTCTGTCGTCCGAATGGTGTGCTGAAAATCTGAAAGCAAATTGAAATTTGTGATCTAAACAATCAATTACCTTTTGTATTGCCAATTTTCGTGACAACTTATAAAAGAGCCTTTAAATTACCTCTTTTTTTAAATTTTTTTTAAATTTTTTTTAATATAAAAAAATTTTTTTTTTTTTTTTTTTTTTTATATTTTTTAAAAAAAAATTTAAATTTTAAAAAAATTTTTTTTAAAAAAAAAATAAATAATTATAAAATAATAAAAATAAAAAAAATAAAAAATTTTTTAATTTTATTATTTTTTAAAAAAAATTTTATTTAAATTTTTTTTTTTAATTTTTTTTTTTTTTTTTTTTTTTTTTTTTTTTTTTTTTTTTTTTGAAAAAAAAGTTTTTTTTTTTTTTTTTTTTTTTTTTTTTTTAAAAAAAAAAAAAATTTAAAAAAAATTAAAAAAAAAAATAAAAAAAAATTTAAATTTAAAAAAAAATAAAAAATTAAAAAAAAAAAAAAAAAAAAAATTTTAATTTTTTTTAATATTTTTTTTTTTTTAAATAAAAAAAAAAAAAAAAAAATTTTATATATATTTAAATTTTTAAAAAATTTTTAAAAAAATATTATAAAAAAAATTAAATAAAAAAAAAAATAAAAAAAAATTAAAAAAAAAAAAAAATTATATATAAATAAAATTTAGGGGTATAAAAATAGATTTTAAAATTTTTTTTTTTTTTATTTTTTTTTTTTTATTTTTTATTTTTTTTATAAATTTTTTGTTTTTTTTTTTTTTTTTTTTTTTTTTTTTTTTTTTTTTTTTTTATCTTTTTTTTTTTTTTTTTTTTTTTTTTTTTTAAAAAAAAAAAAAATAAAAAAAAAAATTAAAAAAAAAAAAAAAATAAAAAAAATTTTTTTATTTTTTTTTTTTTTGTTAAAAAAAAAATTAAAAAAAAAAAAAAATAAAAAAAAAAAAAAAAAAAAAAAAAAAAAAAAAAAAAAAAAAAAAAAAAAAAAAAAAAAAAAAAAAAAAAAAAAAAAAAAAAAAAAAAAAAAAAAAAAAAATTTTTTTTAAAAAAAAAAAAAAATAAAAATAAAAAAAAAAAAAAAAAAAAAAAAAAAAAATTTTTTTTTTTAAATTTTTTAAAATTTTAAAATGTTTTTTTATTTTTTAAAAAATTTTTTTTAAAAAAAAAAAAAAAAAAAAAATTATAAAATTTTATTATAAAAAAAGAGAAAAAAATTTGTAAAAGTTGAGTAGGGCTAAAGTCACGCAAAGATAATTCTTGGTTTGGAGAGAATTGAGAACTTTGAATTCATTTTCGAAAAAACTTGCTAATAAAGGTTTTTTTATTGAAAACCCATAACACAAAGGTTAGAAAAAACTCGAGTTTTTTGATCCATAGATAGATGAGCAAAGAACTTTGTGAAGAAGCCGAACTTTGTGCTCTTACAAAAGCAAGCTTTTTGGAACCTACGATTTCTTAAGGGAACTATTTTCGACGATTTTGAATTTAGAATCATCAGTTTACAATCGTTTTCGTAAAATTGAGTGAACATTGTGATTTCTTTTTGAATTATTTCAAAATTTCACTTTGAAATGAAAAATTTGACTCTGAAATCAAAAACTTGACTCTAAAACTTGACTACAGTACCTTTTAGAAAACATTTACATTTATATTCATTTAGAATATTGTGTAAATAGTGAACTAAGGTAAAATAAAGCTTTCAAAGTTGGATTTTGCGCTTAAATTGTTGCCTAAATAAAGTGTTGCGTGATTTACAAAGGTTTAAATGCGAATCGTGTAAAGACAATCGTAAATTGATCACCAATTATGGCAGGAATAGTTTGTGTAGCTAAAAAGATTGTAAAAGATTTATTGGAAAACTTTCTAAGCATTTATCACTCCTCTCCTTGCCGAGCTGTCTTTCCTCGTCGAACTTTCCTCGTATGTACTGTGGACACGTCTGTGGAAGTAGTAACTCCGAATGCTTTGATTTAACGTCAAATAGAAAATTCCTGATACACCTGAATTAAATTTGAGAGAAAAATTTATTTTTTAAAGTACCAGATAACGTTTGCCATGAGATTTGCCCGACAATTGCCATCGCTAAGCTGAGCGAACTTGCGAATTGCATATAGACATAAAGAAGACAAGCAGCTAATGCTGGCATTGTGATAAAGACGGCTTGGATAAGAGCCTGGAAAGTGAATCATGGCTCACAGAGATAATAATTAGACAGAATTTCAATTGAATCAAGGTTTTGGTTTAAGTTTGAATGTTTGGCTTGAACTGGACTGGAAAATAGGCTTGGATCTAGACTCGAAGCTTGAAGCTCGAAGCTCGAAACTCTAAGCTCGAAACTCAAAGCTCGAAGCTCGAAGCTCGAAGCTTGAAGCTCGAAGCTTGAAGCTCGAAGCTCGAAGCTCGAAGCTTGAAGCTCGAAGCTCGAAGCTCGAAGCTCGAAGCCAAATCGGCTTACAGATTAGTCACATCGTCATTAAATTTATTTGATTTGAAAGCAGCAGAGTTTAGAAATTGAAAGCATTTATTATTCTACAAGTTTTAAAATAAAATAAAATAAAAACTCACATTCATTTCAGCTTTCGACACTTTTCCCTCATCTCCTTTGTAATTTTGACGTTTGCGCCATAGAAGCAAACCAATTGCCATATAAAGAACGAGTAAAAGAATAGCCACGACAATATTATTGTATTCATGAGCTTTATTCTCGTAGATTGGAAATTCCTATAAATTTCGGGTATAAGAAAATTTAGATCTAAACTTACAGTAGCGATATCTTCGATAGCCGGTACATAGATAGCTCCGAAAGCTTTTGAATTGTAGGGTAATGGTTTGTGAATAATGCCCACCCAGGCACCATACATACACGCGAGAAAGGCCCAGCCGAGAGTAGGAACTTTCTGGAGGTTATTAGGATAAAGAATGTTTTAGAATCGATTCACTTAGGCTAAGCCAGAACTAGAGCCAGCATTTGGGCAAAGCTCTAGCAAAAGCCAAGTCTGGATCTGACTCTGGCCTAGATTTCTAGTGCCTAATCTAGCCTAGCTTAAGTTCTAGAACGGTTTAAGTAAGTCTAGTTTAAGTTCCAGGTTCCAGAAGATCATCTTTTACTTACATTGAAAGCCTGATTGAAGAACGGATTCGAAATGAGTACAACGAGGCGATTCACCGCCAGCAGAACATACAAAAACGAGGCAATTCCCCAAACGGCTGAAAAATAGTAAAGTATATAGTCAATGATCTCATTATATTATCGTAGAGCTCACTAATATTGTAAGCTCCCTCAATGTACATTATCACTGGATTCATAGAGAAAACAGCGCAACAGAAGAATGATTAGTAGATCGGGTTACCATCTACTAATCATTCTTCTTTGTATCACCTACAAAGTAAAAGATAACTGATAACCCGATCTACTAATCATTCTTCTACATAAATTCTTCAAATATTATAACAATAAATCTGTTTTAGAAAGAATTTAGATCAATTTAGACTCTTTAAGATACCTTTAAGAGATCTTTAAAAGATCTTTAAGATATCGTTAAGAGATCTTCAGAGATCTTTTCAACAACTCACTAATATTGTAGGCTCCCTCAATGTACATCATCACTGGTTCCATACAGAAAACAGCGCCAACCGAGAACATGTACCCTCCAATGATTGAATTCGCAATAATATTGCATATGTCAGCTGTGATCAACATTAACATTATCTAAATTTAAGATAAGAACATTTTCTCATCATTTCCCTACTTTGTAACATGGATTTTTGATTAAATTAACTTTAAACATTGCGTAGATTGTCGGGATGTAAAGAAGCTGAAAGCTTTTGTATAAACAATGATTATTAATATCCAAATTATTCTCACCAAATAAATAGTTCCAATAATGATGAACAGTGTCCCAACCATTGGCCATTTTTCTCCCTGTTCTAGCCATTGAACTTTCGTTTTCCCTGTGCAATTGTAGTAAGTATCTGGATAGCCAAAAATCCATCGTATTGTCTGTAAATGGTTACGAATAGGTAAAGCTTATTGTTAACATCATTTTACTTTACTATCACTGTACTATTTACAGTTCTATTACTGTCGTATAAGAGTTTCCTTTCTTACAGATAAACCAGCAAAAATGATACTTGCTGTAAGAAATATATGTTGATGTTTTGATCTTATAATTTCTTGTGAGACCGTGTCTCGGTGTGCTTCAATAGTGGTCTTCTTGAAAACGCACAATTTATCCAACTTTCCCTTATTAGGACAACTTGCATATAGGCAATTTTTAATGTAAAGATAAGACTTTAGCTCAGATCAACTTGTAATTGCTTTTAAAAGAATCCTCATTAAATTTGGTTATAGAAAAGTAGAATTTTTTTTGTATACTTATGTATAAGAACATAGAGAAAATTTGTGTCAAAGTTGAACTACCTACTTGAAAAAGTTGATCAACTTGGATGGTCTATAACTCGAGGTATAGAAATTGAATCAATAGTTGGTTTTAAAAGAATCTTCATTAAATTAGACTCTTCATTTCTCATTCATCAAATGAATGACTGCCGAAACAAAGTCTTGATTGCCTAATTTTGGCTTAAAGAAAACCTTTTTTTACAAACAGCTGATTTTTATGGTTTTAAACATATTTCTATTGAAATTTCTTAAAACAAACCTCCATCTCAATAAAAATTCAGTCAGAGATCCGCTTTCAAAACAGTTTTTTTCGATTCAAAATCTTTCAAAATAATCTTTCCCGAAACTCTATTATATCCCGAAGAAAGGGCGGTCCCGCAGAATTAGTGTGCATAAAATACCCACTAAAAACTTTTCTCCCAAACTAATTTTGTGCAAAATTTTGATGAAGTTATTCGCGCCAACAACTCAGACGGAAATTACTTCCTGAAACGCTGAGAAAAAATCTCAAACATCGCTTTCGTAAAGCAATTCGTTCGGCTGATTGTAATGAAGCTTTTCCGGAAAATTTTCATTAAAAAAAGCACCTCAAAGATCAAGCTCGAGGTGTTTGACTTTGAAAAGTACAAAACTCATTGACTTCTTTCACAATAATCACAAAATTTCACTCAGTACATTCTGTTTTGAACTCCAATAAAACGCGAACGAGTGTTTTTAGCTTTTATAAGACTACAATGCAAGTTTTGCAATCAAAAAAACCCCGATTTTTTCTATGTGGATTGAGAATTCAAATGCTATTATTCTAGAGTGTTTTTGGCTCAAATTATGTAAACCAGAGATGTGCAGAGAAGAAATTCTTAAAAGCCATAAACAGAGTTCTGACCTTGTCTATTAGGTCGTTAAAAAAGTTCGACTTGCAGAAAATTCTTTATTTGCAAATCATCAACAAAAACAACAACAGCGTTCACTCTTCGAAGATAGTTCGAAGTGCTGAATTGAACGAGAGAGGCTATAGGATGAAGCACAGGCTGTAAGTTTAGTGGCAGAGCCTCAACGCCGTCCAACTCTTCAAACTTGACCTTGGTCTTTTTGGCGGTATCCGGCTTGACATTGTCTTGCTAGAGGCTTAAGTCCTACTAAGTCTTGTACTAATTTCTTTCTACTAAGTTATATAAGAAAATACTTGCAAGAAAACAGGCTTTCAAATAAGCCAAAAACCATAAGAATCAATTGTCAAAGAATTAGATAATTTGAACTTTTCTACAAGTAATCACAAACTTTTTTAGCAAATCTAGTAAAAAGTCAGATCAAAAATCAGAGTTGGCCTTATTCAATGGTTTAAAAATCTTGTTTAATCATTCGTTTGCTTTAAATGATTCCAGAAAAAAGTTTACAATAATCCAAGAATTTCTGGCCTGCTTTATTGGCTCTTTTGACTCAAATCTTTACTTCTAGTGCATCTGATTCCCATGTTCTTAAGAATTTCTTGAAATTAGACTTTCTACAAGACAATTTTCTTGATTTGGAAACTTTGAGTAAGATAGATTACCACTTTGCAATTCCTATGTCTGTTTTTACAAAGATCACAAACACTCACCCATTTCTTCATTCATTTCCTCGTGTAGTGATCACTCAAACACATTACAAACCAAATTACAAATCTAATTTTATTGTCTATACATTTTTGTACTTTTTCAGAGTCCAATATTCGAAAAACTTCAAATTATTGTGTGAAAAAAAAGTGGTTTTTTGTGTTTCGGAAAGGCCGATAATCAAATGAAATTCTTTACAAAATTGGCACTTTCTCGGCTCACCGTTTTTTAAAAGTAATTTGGAAAATTTTCGTTCTGGGATCAGCAAAGAAAGATCGAAAAACTCATGAAATCAACAATAGTTTTCAATGATCAGACTTTTAGATTAGTTTTAAACCTTTTGAGGGGGATAAATGAGGGGAAAAAGAGCTTTTGAGTAACATGATCCGAAAGAAAATCTTTTTTAAACAATCCTTCTCAACAATCCTTCTCAACAATCCTTCTTAACAATCCTTCTTAACAATCCTTCGCAGCAATACTTCTCAACAATACTTCTCAACAATCCTTCTTAACAATCCTTCGCAACAATCCTTCTCAACAATCCTTCTTAACAATCCTTCGCAGCAATACTTCTCAACATTACTTCTCAACAATCCTTCTCACAAAAACTCAAAAAAACCTAAAATTTCCTGAAATTCTTCAATGTGTAGCTGCAATTTAAAGTAAATCTTTTTATCTTTGATATAAAAATGATATAGTTTTCTAATCTAATCATTGGTCTTGTTTAGGGAAGTGAATCTGACAGAAACTTGGTGGGAGAACGTGAAAGAGTCAAAGAGTGAGAACTGCAAGTGTCAGGTATGGTGCTAATCCTTTAGATATTGTTGATTCGAACAAATTCCATTCAAATTACTGCAACAAAGCTTAAAGTTTACGCAATGCTTTAGTGCAGAATTATTTATTAGTTTGATGAAAAATGACACCTTGGCGCTTGAGCAAGCGCTTGGCTAATAGTCGCTTGGCTAATAGGCTAATAGTAACAAATTTCCTCGCCTACTTCAAAGGGATCTAGTTAGCTTCTATTTATAAGAAAAGATTGCACACTCTGCCCAATAAATTGGAAGATATTATACCTGTAAATAGTTAATAATTTTGATAAATAAGCCATGGTTTTCAAGAAATTGCAATGAAAAAAAGAAAAAAGGCGATAACTTTCTTGCAGATTACGATTGCTAGTGCATTTTAGAACTAGCGTCCTCAAAATTTTCTTTGTAAACGCTCTTGCGTTTTCTAAACTACCATAACCTAGCTCAAAGCTCAAATTATTCGAATAAATGATCGACATTAGAATTATAGAAAAGATAAGAAATAACTTTTTGCTTTACAAGAAATTAGCTCTTAGTTTGGCGAGCAAGCGGTAGTTAGCGGTAGTTCGGTAGTTATGGTAGTTTAGAAAACGAGCAAGTTGTAGTTATGAAAACGCTAGTTCTAAAATGGCTAATAGTCGAGCTTTCAAATTTTTCAAATAACAAATTTCCTCGCTTACTTTAAAGGGATCTAGTCAGCTTCTATTTATAAGAAAAGATTGCAAACTCTGCCCAATAAATTCGAAGATATTATAGCTGTAAATAGTTAATAAGTTAATAAGTTAATTTTTATCAATAAGCCATGGTTTTTTAAGAAATTGCAATGAAAAAAGAAAAAAGGCGACAACTTTCTCATCTGATACATTTCATTCTTTATAGCTAAAAATGAGATTTCAGGCACTCAATAGACCAAAATCTCTTGGGAATCCATTTATGCGACAAACTTTTCGAAATAAACAAACGTGAGTTGTATCTTAACAACAAAAAAATCTTAACAACAACCAAAAACAATTGAAAATTTTAGTCTAAACGAAACGACGCATTGCCGTTTCTTTATTTGCCCATGTGGATTTCAAATTGAACAAAATTTACATCAATTCTTTTGATTCGCTTTTTAAACAAAGAAATATGGCCTTTTAAATTTGTATTTGAAATTCTTAAAAGTCAGTTTGAAAATGTCTACCGTAAATACTGTAATAGTACCCCACCGCCCTCGTATAGTCGCGTAGTCGCTAAAGTTTTTTAGTATTTCATTTTTTGGCAAAGCATCCGTACTTTCAAAAAAATGCGTCTTTCGTATCAAAAAATAGCCCTGAATTTCAGCTATTTTTTGATACCTAAGCGCGCATTGTAGCATAAACCAGTGTCGAGAAAAACGCGCCCAAAGCTAGACTACGCAACACTCCGCACCGTCATTATCGGGGATGGGGTACTATTACAGTATTTACGGTAGGTATTTTGAAGCCATTAAACCTTTAAACGATCAGGAATTATTTCTCTTTATTGCACAAATCTACAAAAATAATACTACATTCAATGTTAAATTTAACAATTTTCTTTTACACAAGTCCCGCACTCTGCGCCATATTGTAAAAGACGGACTCTTTGTTTTGGAGAAGTTGTTGAGGAGAACCCATCTCAGCCACTTCGCCACTCTTCATTACCATGATTCTGGAAAAGTATTGGATTGAAAACTGTATCATCCTTTCCCATAGTAAGTCCTACTGTAAAATCTCACTTATCATAATCCATTATCGTATTCAAACGATGAGCAATCGTGAGAATTGTGGCCGCGGCGAACTCTCGTCGAATTGTACTCTAGAAAACATTACTAGATTTGTATATGTCGTAGCCGATTATGAATGAAAATTTTTGGTAAATCTTTCTAGTAGAGCAACCCTTTAATGTATGAGGACAATATTATATCATCTTGTAGCGAATTGAATTCTGCGTCGATTGTTACCAAATTTGTGAGTTTAGGTTAAAAATTACCGGCGCTACAACGTTTCGTTCAAAATCGGCGGGACCCCCGTAGCCGATTATGAATGAGTGGGTCTAGGAGCGTCCAACCATCAAGTATTTGGTATCATTCAACGCAGAATCATTAATAATTATGTTAAATTTTTAAAATTAGAAAGATTTGATAAAAAGAAAAAAAATTAGAGCAAAAAAAACTATTTGTTCAAGAGGAAACTTTGAGGCCCCATAATTTTTTTTCCTTTTATCCAATCTTTCTAATTTCAAAAATTTAACATAATTATTAATTATTCTGCGTTGAATGTTACTAAATACTTGATGGTTGGACGCTCCTAGACCCACTCATTCATAATGAGCTGAAATTCATAATCGGCTACGACATATAGATTCCATTTGAAATAGAAATTGATAGATCGATAAAAGAAAGAAATGTCTTTTTAATCTAAATTATCATTACCTGAATCAATGCATCAGTGTGAACATCGACCGCTGCCGTCGCCTCATCCAAAACCAAAACTTTCGATTTCCTCAACAATGCCCTTGTCAAACAAACGAGCTGCCGTTGACCAACACTAAAGAATGTTAGTGCCGGCAGACCTTTTATACGCGCTCCGCTCCTTTCCCATTAGCAATCCAACTTTGAGCTCAGATATCTTGGTGCTGGGCTGTCAAATTTAAATAGTTTTTGTACCAATCGACAGAGAAAGACTTGACGCATCCAATGATACCAAGAATGTTTAAATTGGACAGCTTAACACCAAGAAATTTGAGCTTAAAGTTAGATCTTCCATAGTAAAAGGAGCAAAAAAAAGTTGTGTCTAGGTGTCTCTGCAATCCGGCTTAATCATGATCGGCGGCCGATTAGCTCTTCGACTCGATGATGAGGAAATTGTTCGATACAAAGCCATCATTTATCATTAAAACCTTATTCACCTAATATTTTCCCCTCCTTCATCGATTTGATGATCCAATCTTGAGGGTAACATCTCAATAAAGTTCTTCAAATGCGCGTGTTCCAAAGCTGCCCACAATTCGGCATCACTGTGATCTTCAGTTGGATCCAAGTTGAATCTCAGAGTACCCGAGAAAAGAACTGGGTCCTAAATACGATTTAAACTTGAACAGCTGTCAGATTAATAAAGAAAGAATGACAAAGAAGCATTTCAAGGGCGCGGATTGAATCCTTGATCTACTTTCTAGGCAGATACTCTAACCATCTTTCTAATCATCTTTCTAATCATCTAATCATCCAATATCTTTTTCCCCATAGAAGAAAGAAGAGATACAAGTAGGGAAGAGAAAGAAAGAAAGAGGCGGAAATAAATAAATCAAACGATGATGTTACACTTACTTTTTTTAATTTTGAATTAATCTCTTTCATTCATTTTAGGCCATTTTAGGCTAATTAATTTTAATTTTGAATTAATTTTTTTACCTGTGGGATAATGGTGATATTCTTGCGTAGATCGTGTAATCCAAGACTTTGTATATCGATTCCATCCAATTGAATCACTCCACCGCAAGGCTCAACAATTCGGAAAAGCACTAACGCCATTGAGCTTTTCCCGGCTCCCGTTCGACCAACGATGCCCACTTTTTCACCCGGTGAGATGTGAGCAGACAAATCCTATACAATTACAATATTATTCTTTAAAATAAATCCTATATAATTACAATATTATCTTTCAAAGGTAAACCCTATATAATTACAATATTATATAATTACAAACTTGAAATTTCGTACATTTATTCATTGCACTTTTTAGAAACTAGTGCACAAATTTATCTACAGTTTTTACCAATAAAAAGATGCATTTTTTTTCTCTCTAAAACAAGCTTTCAAGATTAGCAAACAAGATTTCATAAAGCTTCAATTTTATAGATTTCTAGGGGGGCAAGAAGATTTCTATTTTATTGATTTTATAGATTTCTAGGGGGGACAAGAAGTTAAGAACCAAAAATGAAGAAAACTCGATGAAGCGATTTGATCATTTTCTTCTACATAAACCTATTTTAGTGTAAATAGAATAAAGGTAGAGCTTGAAAAGTTAGGCATATAGCCGAATTCTCGGGGTAGGCTATTTTCTTCAATTCGTCATACCTTTCTTTTAAGTGGACCAATCTTTATGCTTTTGGTTTCATTTTGTTGCACTTATTGAGATCTACAAAATGAAATCAAAATCATAAAGATTGGTCCAAGATTGTTAGAAGATTGATAGAAGAAAAAAAACTATATACCTAACTTTTAATGCTCTATCTTTTTTCTATTAACATCAAAAAAGGTTTATGTGGGAGAAAGTGCTCAAAAAGTTCATAAAGATTGGTAGAAGAAAGTTATGGCGAGTTGCGCAAAAGAAATCGCGAAAATTAGCCTACCTAGCCTACCCCGAAAATTAGCCTACCCCGAATTTAGCCTACCCTGAAAGTTAGCCTACCCCGAAAATTACCTACCCCGAATTCTCAGCTTGATTTGTCTAATTGCTTTAGTTATAAGTCTGTTTAAAGAATTTTCTTGAAAAAACGAATTTCTGCTCAAATTTCTTTCAAAAGTTACCCAAATTAGCTGTATTTTTTAAATTAAATAATATATAACTTAGAGAAGTCTAATTCAATTGACATATTGACTATGTTTTATGGGAAATACGAAATATGTTTTATGGGAAATATTGTACCAACTTTCAAGTTATCAATCAATGTCAATCAATGTCAATGTCAATGTCAACCTTGAAAAGTTATAGTAAAGCTTTAGTTTAATATTAAGCATCAAAGCATCTTCTAGAACTTATGAGATCTAATTGTAAACTAATTGTAAACTAATTGTAAACTAATTGTAAACTAATTATAAACTAATTATAAGTCTAGATCTAGAAATCTAATAAAATACTGAATATTTACCTTAGACTTTCAAAATTTACCCTTAAAACCAAATCCAATCCTGGGCGATATCGGGCTCGAACTTTCTTGAACTGTATGTCTCCCTTATCAGGCCAAATCCTCGGCAACTCTTTTTCACCCTCCCAATTTGCCTGAAAAAAAAATGATATTCAATCATAAAATCAATTAGAAACAAGAAAATTCAATTGTCTTTAATCAAAACTTTAATCAAAACCCTCTCAAATAATAGCGAAAAATCGGAAACGATCTCGTTTTCTAAAACCCGAATCAGAAGCGTTCTTGCTCATTATCCATGAAATCGAAAACGGAGTCGTTCCTTATTTTGCACTTATGATTTGAGAGGAACACACTCTAACAAGAAACAAGAAAATTCAATTGTCTTTAATCAAAACTAGAGTGTGTCCCTCTCAAATAATAGCTCAAAATCCGAAACGATCTCGTTTTCTAAAACCTGAATCAGAAGCGTTCTTGCTCATGAAATCGAAAACGGAGTCGTTTCTGATTTTGCACTTATTACTTGAGAGGAACACACTCTAATCAAAACCTCCGACTGATTCTCGGTGTACTCTTTCACGCGCTCCACCGAAACCACATTTGACTCCAAATCGCCAATATATCGTACGAACATGCTCATCATAAAAGTCACCTAAAAAATCTTTTAATAATAAATAATAAATCAAACTTACATTTAAACTATAGGAAACAGCCAGCCCACTCATCCCAGCCGTCGTTAAACCCCAGTTTTTCGCAACTATCGCCAATAGTGCTGCCCTGAATTTAGCCTTTTTTTTAACACAACTTAAAGATAAAATTACTTACAAAATACAAAATATAACAATTATTTTTCTTATTTTGTTATTCTGTAGTAAAGAAATTCTTTTTTACCCCAAAATGATGACATTTCCGAGCAACTCGAGTCGCACAGAGAACCATCGCTGAGCTATCATTGTAAAGTAGCTGCATCGGATATAAACCTCAAGCTGAATAACTGATTTTATAAAGAAATAGATTAAAGCTGATTAAAGCTAGATTAGTTTCATATTCTGCGGATTAAATAAAAAAGCAAGATAGTTAAAAGCTGATTTTTGACTGCCTGTTGTGCTATTGCAAGTTTCAAGGCCAATCCAAGTTTAGAGCTGACTTCTAACCTTGCTTCTTCATTGAATCTTTTAGCAAATCAAAAAAGTTAGGCTGAGAAAGTAGAGTTTTTAGTTTAAGTATTTTACAGCAAATATTCTTCTACAGATTTTCTTTATCTTTTCTGGGAAATATTGTAACAACTTTCAAGTTGTCAATCCTTGAAAAGTTATGGTAAAGCTTTAGTTTAATATTAAGCATCAAAGCATCTTCTAGAACTTATGAGATCTAATTGTAAACTAATTGTAAACTAATTGTAAACTAATTGTAAACTAATTGTAAACTAATTGTAAACTAATTGTAAACTAATTATAATTCTCATCGTTTTTTCCTTCACCTTTTGCTTGCTCATTTCAATGAAATTGTCAGTCCATCCGAATGCTCGAATCGTGCTCGCTCCTTGAATTGATTCACCGAAATGAGAATAGATCGGAGATCTAGAAAAAGTTATTGGTTTTTTTAAGAGAAAATCTACTATATAAACTTTCTTTTTCCACTTTTTAGCCTTTAAAGCTTATTTTCATTGGAATTTACCTTGTGATTGAGGCAAGTCGTTGCAATTGACGTGAACAAGTAATTATGTATCTCTGAAAAAAGGATAATCACTATTTTAAACCTCTAAAAACTAGAGAGTTTTACCAGCAATAGAAAATAAATGACAAAAACGGGAATAGCGACAATCATGAAAAGGGGAAGAGCGATGGTGATGAGGATGACCACCTGCAAGAATCTTTGACTAACAATTGAGCTTTTCATTTGTCTGTATCAACTTTGTTGCTTGAGATTTAGAATATTATAGTCGAAATTAACATTAACATTAACCTTAACATTATTCACTAAATTTCCCCTTACTTGAATCACATTCACCGCTGAGATCACCACAAAGCGAAATGTCCCTGGGAGACGCAGATCAATCACTTCAATGTCCTGGAAAGAGATACTTCAATGACACTTCAATGACACTTCAATGACACTTCAATGACACTTCAATGACACTTCAATGACACTTCAATCACTTCAATGACACTTCAATGTCCCGAATTCTTCTCGATTTCTTTTCAATTTTCTAGCAAAAATACAGCCAAATTTGAGGCAGAAATTGATCTCAAAAATTTCGGCATAGTGACGCCGAAAAAAGTGGAATCAGCTCAGTCGTTGACCATCCTCCTCGAATTCCCAGAGGGAAATCCCTTATGTCAAAGGGCTTTGCCAGATGACGAGCGATTGCGCACAAAGAACCGCACCAGTCATTGACAGGGGAATTTTCTTGTAGAGAATATTAAAAAAAATTTAGCTGTAAATTTATAGTCGAGGGGTTTTCAGGATTGGGGAATTGATTGGAGTTATTTATTTTATCGAGTCTACCAATTGAAATTCAGAAACTCAAACCTTTCCCAGTCGATTCAGAATCCTTCCAAGCGGGGTTACATCAAAAAACGAGAGTGGACTGCGGAGGACATTGTGAAGTAATGGAGTGTGTAGTTGGAGTGAAGCCTAGAAGAAATCTTGAATTGAAAAATTCTTCAATAATATATTCAACAAAAACAAAAACAATAATAATAACAATAATAATAAAATTTTACCTTTATACCACCCATTAAAAGGCAATAGAAGGAGACAAAAAGTGAGAAAACTAAATATTTTATTGATTGATAAGGCGAAACTTTAAACTTTCTAAGAATCCAAGCGCTGTAAAGATTCCTAAACGTGCGCCAAGTGAAAGAGGATCTTGACCGGGTACCAGATTTGAGTCAGACCTAAAGTCAGCATAAAGAGAAGTCTAAACATAATTTATCCTTACCAAGCACTCAACCAGAGACTCCGACTCGCCGAGAATCCCATCCACAAAAAGATGAAGATAAACAACGGTAACATGTGCGTGATCAAGCCCATCGCTTTGAAATAATTCATATATACTTGAGGCTTCACCTAAACATACAAGAACTCATTAAAAAGTTAAATTAAAACGTTTCTTTGACTATCTGATACACTTGATCTTGGCTTGGACTATATAAATCAACGCTTGAGCTAGTCAGTAATGACAAGCCAGGCTCAATTCAAATTCTAGACTAAACTTAATCGATCTACTACTTTATTGGGTTGGTGGAAAAGTCCTTTCCGATTTTTTGGGACGGGCGATTCCGAGGGTCGCTGGTTTCGACTTCCACCGGTAACAATATTTTGCAAAAATTTTTTGCTAAGATTCTGAAAATGCGTGTCTAGGGGTTATTTTTGACGCTGATCACGAAACACATGTTTTTAGCCTAGGTTTCTGCATGAAAAACTAACGAAACGTGAAAGCAGCCATTTTTTGGCTCTGCCGCCCTTTACTAAAATAGCTGTAAAAACTTTTAGAAAAGAGATATCTCAAAACGGTTTTTACCAATCGATCCGTCTTGAATTCAGCTTTAGGATGAGCTATAAAACGTCAAAATTCGACAAATTTAAGGTACTCTCGCAAAAAATCGGAAAGGACTTTTCCACCAACCCAATAAATCACCACCTAAGCCAATCAGTAATGAAAAGCCAGACTCTAATCAAATTCTAGACTAAACTTAATCGATTTACTTTATCTAGCTGATTGATAATAAAGTAAAGAATGATAAAGAAAGGTTAATTAACTAAAGAATAGTAAAAGGAATAGATTTGCTGATTTTCCTTAGACAAGTTTAGGCTTTAGACAATTTTAAACCAACAAACCCTTCCAGTTTCCGCTTTCTCAGTCACAATGAGTTTGCTATCGGCTTCTAAATCAACTTTAATCAGTAATAAACATTAAATAACCTTGCGGAAGTGTTCTAATCGGTGCTTGCGATCTCTTCGCCGAGCTTCTCCTTGATTTCTTCGATAGTTTCGTTGATGCCTTTGAAAAAGTCGACTTCTTCTCGATTTCTGATTCAGCATCACTGCTGTCTTTCTTCTCTTGACTAGCATTTATATTTATACAGACAAGCTTCTTCCAAATCCTTACCTTTCCTCATCAGAACTTTCCTCAATCTCGCTCTCTTCTTCCTCTTTCTTTTCAATTTCAGCCTCTTGCAAGTAACGCTCTGTTTCCGGATTTTCCATTAAATTCGCATATGTATCAACGTAAGCAATTGTATTATCTTAAAAATTTATATATCTAAATTTATTTTGGTCAGCTAAACCTTTAACAATTGCAATGATATCAGCTTCTTTCAGAAATGAAAGTCCATGAGTGACAAGGACTCTAAAAATTTAAAATTCAAGTTTAGATTAACTTATTTAAGAATTTAGAATTGCTAACTTAATTAAATAAATCTTCTTTACCTAGTTTTTGATTTTAAAACCCCATTTGGTCCAATAACTTGATCGAAAATGTGCTTAGCGACATGCGCATCAACAGCACTCAATGGATCATCCAATAAAATAATGTCACTGTAATGATTTAATAATAATTAACTGAATATCTATTTAATATAAAGTAAAAGATATTCAGTTAATTATTATTAAATCAAATAATGTCACTGAAATCATTTAACGGAGTGGGACAAATGCGACCTTTTGTGCATCCGGACATTTGCGCACCTTTTTTTTGCTGGAAAAGGCCTTAGGCAAGGCCGTAGAGCTTCGAAAATATTTTCATGTAAGGGAATCGTATGCGTAGATTCCGAATTTCGACAAATCACACCTCGCTGACACGTCAAATTTGGGCTAAAAGGCAAAAACTGCGGAAAAGCGTTAAGTTGCGTAGTTTTTGCCTTTTAGCCCAAATTTGACGTGTCAGCGAGGTCTGATTTGTCAAAATTCTGAATCTATGTATACGATTCCCTTCTATGCAAACATTTTTGAAGCTCGGCCTTTCCTAAGGCCTTTTTTCCGCACCTTGCCCATTAGCGCACCTTTTTTCGCGTTTTAAAAAAGCTCTAAAAAGCTAATATTAACCAATTTCTATTACAAAAGTTGTTTTTCTAGGTAATCCTAGGGCGTAGAATCGAAATTTTTGACATATCAGAGCTTGTGGAAACAAACGGACGGAGTTATACAAAGAGAAAAATCGACAATTTTCTGTAATTTGATCTAGGCCTTTCAAATTGGTTCCACACGCTCTGTTATGTCAAAATTTGAATTCGACACCCTCAAATTACCTAGAAAAACAACATTTGGAATAGAAATTGGTTAATATTAGCTTTTTAGAGCTTTTTTTAAAACGCGAAAAAAGGTGCGCTAATGGGCTAAGTGCGGAAAAAAATGTGCGCAAATGTCCGGGTGCGCAAAAAAAAGGTCGCCTTTGTCCCACTCCCATCATTTAATGATAAAACATAACAATTAACTGAATATCTTTTAATATAAATTAAAAGATCTAAAAAAGAAACCGATCCTGGTAAACAGCTCTCGCCAAAGCAACGCGAGCCTTTTGACCACCGGAGAGGTTGATTCCCTAAAGTCTTACTTTATTCTAAAGATTTTTAGTTTTAAAACTAACTTGTCTTTACAATAACTTTATAAGAATTTCTTGTTTTAAACCTTTTCCCCGATTTCCGTTGAGTCGCCAGCTGGCAGAAGCTCTAAATCAGGCTTCAACGCACACGCCTCAACCACCATATCGTAGATCAATTTATTGAAATCTTTGCCCATCAAAATGTTGTCTCTAGAATTTCGATTTGACATTTTAAACGATTTTATCGTTTTTTAAATCGAAAAACACCTTAATGTGAGATTCTGAATCCATGGCTGTTGCGATACGTAGGCTACCGTTCCACGGACACCGACATAACCCCGTAGCTTCTCCATTTCACCTAAATATTTCTCATTTTTTTTTTGCTTAGTTTCTTTTATTCTTTTGTTTCTTAGGTTAAATTTGATAGAAAAACCTAAAACCCCGGACAAAAGACTGCTCTTTCCAGCGCCAACCGTTCCAACAACAGCAATCAGCTTTCCACTTGGAACTTCTATCTAAACATCTCATTTTTTTTAAAATAATTATAGTTCTTAGCAATTATTTTGTCTCTTTTATGTTGCTCTGGGGTTTTAAATGAACGATATCAAGAGACAAGATGAATCGCATTATTCCCTTGATCCCTTGATCGTCATATCCCTTGACTTTGAAGTTTTGAAAAATTGACAAAAGAATTAGAAATGACAAGCAAACCGAAGTCGGCTCAGTTCACTTTTAAATGCTTTCGATTTACAAATTCTATAAGAGCCCTTATTTTACTCTGGGGTTTTAAATGAACGAAATCAACAGACAAGACGGATCGCATTATTCGTCATGTCCCTTGACTTTGAAGTTTTGAAAAATTGACAAAAGAATTAGAAATGACAAGCAAACAGAAGTCGGCTCAGTTCACTTTTAAATGCTTCCTATTTACAAATTCTATAGAAGCCCTTATTTTACTAATAATTGCCATCTATTAATGTTTGTTTTATGCTTAAATGCTTACATCAATATCCCGCAGTGCTGGCTGAAGACTTCGATCCCATGTCCAAGTGATTTGTTGCGCTTGAAGCGATTTCTCGTAGACTGAAATCTCTATTTATTTGCCTTCTTATTTGAAATACCCACATTCTGAATTCAATTGTCGATCCACCGATGTCTCATTTAATTCTTCAGCAATCAAGAAATCTTTTAATCGTTTATTGGAAACGATTGCTTGAACAGTTTGCGAGATTAGATCCGCAGCCATCATAAGGGGACCTCTCAACGAATTGAAGAGGGTTAAAGAGACGAAAGCTATCTGAAATATTACTGATATTGTAAACTATCAGGATTTCAATTGCTACAGTATACCGTAATACAAAAGATCTATCTATCTATCAACAAAAGACCTATCTATCAATCTGCAAAAGGTCTATCTATCTATCAATCTACAAAAGACTTATCTATCAATCTACAAAAGATCTATCTATTTATCAATCTACAAAAGATCTATCTATCTGTTCTGTAGATTGCTACAAAAGATCTATCTATCTATCAACAAAAGACCTATCTATCAATCTGCAAAAGATCTATCTATCTATCAATCTACAAAAGATCTATCTATCTGTTCTGTAGATTGCTACAAAAGATCTATCTATCTATCCACAAAAGATCTATCTATCAATCTACTAGACTACTATCTACTATCGATCTATCTATCTACTAAACAGAATCTCTATAGTTCCTTTGAAGAATCACTTTTGCTGTCTCAAGTTCCCTTGGAAAGATTTTACAGGTTTAGAATGTAAGCTAGATATGTAGTCTTTGATCCAAACAAACCTGCGGAGTCAAAATATGAGATGGATCAGTGAGAGTATAGGTAGCAAAGGTTGCAGCAGCTACCTGAAAATTCAACTCTCTTCAAGTAAATCCTTGAAAATTACACACAAAAAATGGTTGTGAAACGTTAAAGATATCACAAGTGTTTTGAAGGGTTGATGCTCTTTGAACCAATTTCATTTCCTGCAAAAATTCGAAATGTTGCATTTTCTTTGTCTCTAACCTTTTCCCGAATCTTGTCAATCGCTTTTTCCATCGCTGGCTCCCAGGCATAAAGCTTTACAACCTAAACGAAAACATTAAAATCACAATTTTCATCAAACTTTTATCCCATTCAACACTTCATTTGTCATCTTGATTCGTTGATCTTTCAATCGTAACTGTTCCACTTGCCATTCTCGACATTTAAATGAAACCCAGAAATTAACGGGTATGACAAGAGCCATAATGATCACACCCATCAATGCAGCCCATCCAACAGTTTGAGTCAAAAAGAGTAAACAGAGAATGATCTAAAAAACTAAAATTTCAATTAAAATTTAGCTTCCAACTGTCATCGGACTGCTCCAATATTGTTGCAGTTGTGGAGCAATACTTTTAAAACGCTCCACATCAATCGCCATCAAGTTCACAATTTCACCAACTGTTTTCTCGCGTCTAGCTGTATTTGAAAGACAGAGTGTCTAAATTATCTCTTAAAATTTAGTCTTGATTTTTAAGAACTTAAAGAAATATGAAATGAATTGATATTTTCTATTGGGTTGGTGAATTGAAAACTGCGGGCTATTCATTCCAAATAGTTTCCATTATTATTGACGACTTCTGCCCATTTTACAGGCAATTTTCGGATTCCTCTTTCGTAGTAGGATTTTGGTTTGTTGTGGAGAAAAAGGGGAAAAAAGAAAAAAAAGGGGGTGGAGGGTTTCAAGAGTGAAATGGGGAGTTCCATTTAAAAAAAAAAAAAATTTGGGGGGAAAGGGAAAGGGGTTAGAAAAAAAAAAAAAAAAAAAAAAAAAAAAAATAAAGAGAAAAAAAAAAAATAAATTATAAAAAAAAAAAAAAAAAAAAAAAAAAAAGAATAAATTATAAAAAAAGATAATAAGGTATAATTTTTTTTTTATTTGATAAAATTATTTTTATTTGTATTTATAAATATAAAAATGAAGAAAAAGAGGGGGTTTTTTAGAAGTAAGAAAGGAAGGGTGAGAATGGGGAACTGTGACATTTGATAGGTGGGGGGCTCCCGGACCGTGGATAGCAAGACGACCGTTAATGCAATCAAATACAGTGGACAGTTGGGAAGTTCTGGATCATGAGTAATGAGCCTGAAGAAGAATAGGCCCTTCAAGTCAAAGATCGTTTTCATCCACGACAACGCGCTCATATTGCAAAACTGACTCGCTCTAAAATAAATAGCCTTGTTTGGGAACTTTTGGCGTATTCCCCATACAGTCCGGACCTCTCCTCTTTTGATTACTATTTATTCCGGATCATGTGTAATGAGCTTGCGGGAGAACACTCCGATTCGGAAGAAGCAGTCAAAAATTGGCTTTGAAAGTTTTTCGATTCAAAGCCAAAATCCTACTACGAAAGAGGAATCCGCAAATTGCCTATAAAATGGGCAGAAGTCGTCAATAATAATGGAAACTATTTGGAATGAATTCATGGTTTTATGTTCAATAAATTTTAGTTCAAAGTCCGGCAGTTTTCAATTCACGAACCCAATACCTTTTCATAAACAGCAGTAGTGAGAACAGCTTGGAATTGTTGACCAACTCGGAACATTTCTGTGAAATATTGATTCATCAGCTAAAAATTCTCTTTACAAGTACATAAACCTATTGATTATTCAAACCTGTGATCGAACCAAATTGCTTAGCCCAAGACCAAACGCGTAGACTAAACCTTCATACCATGGAGCTGATTGATCTTCAGTGAATGTTATTAAAAGACTAAAGGATTTTGATTGGTTTTAAAATTCTCGTTTAATTAATAGTTTACTTAATAATTTACTTTAATAAGAGAGGATTCAAGAATTGCATCAAATCAGAAATCAATTTCAATGCAGTGGCTGCGATTAGTTCCCATTTGAATAAACGCCAAAGACACCAAACGATTGATGGTTGTTTAGGAGAGTTTGGATCTTCTAAAAAGATTAGATACAAAAGAAAATCTATTCTTTACCCTAAAGTCTCGAGTATAAGTTCTGCCTTAATTTACATTCGCTTTAATTGCTTTGGAATTTCTTTTTGTTGGGTTTTTATACATTTTTATTGTTATATAAACTTTTATTATTGTTCTTGGAGCGCTACAGGGTGACAGCCTATCACCATTGCTATTTGTTATGTGCATGGATACATCCAGACGATAGTGTTGAAGGAAGACGCTGGAAAGCATCTCTTTCGACCGTCGACGTGGACTTTGACCGGATGAAGAGGCCAGGGAGGGATCCCTAAGACTGAGCAGCTGGGCGGACGCGCCGAGCCACGCCCGGAGCAACAAATAACAGCATAAAATTGCTATAACCCTCAATAAATTTACTTCTATTATTGTTCTTAAAAAGCAAAAAAGTTATGCTGCAGCGGGGTTCGAACCCTCGACACACCGCACCGGAGACAGCCGTCAATTTGCATGCGAAAACCAAACAGAACTTATACTCGCGACTTTAGGGTACATTAATCAAATGACATCTTTAGATTCAATTTCAAAGCTTACTTTTAGCCTTTTCTTTAATCTCTTTCATTTCTCCATTCCTTGTCCCTCCATAACTCTTTGATGTCGATTGTAACAATAAAGTTTTCTCATCGGTTTTATTCCTCTCCTCAATATCAGCATCAAGTTTTTCATGGGAGACGTAAGTAGCCATTTCTTGACGAAATCCTGAAATTTTCAAACGATTTCAAACGATTTCAAATGATTTCAAATGATTTCAAACAATTTCAAACGATTTCAAACGATTCAAACGAAATTAACTAACTCCAAAATTCAATAAACACAAACTTTTCATCTCCACATCCCATTCCTCTTTCCAAATCTTTTGTAGATAATCCGGTTTCAATTCTTCATCAACATCATAAACATCATCGATCTATTTCTATGCATTTTATGTTTAAAATCTCTTTTCCTCACCATTAATGGCCTCTTAAAACCAAGGCTGACCATTGGACTGAACCACCAAAAGAATTGACGATTCAGGAATGACGCCGTTGCATACGGATCTTTCTTGTTCTTGAAATTGACATTATTGTAGGGAGGATAAATGGATGAATGAATAAATTTTCAGCTTATAAGTTACAAATCTTAGTTTTACTTCATCTAAAAAGCTCAATTTCAAATATAAATTTTCATCGTCAAGTCCATTGTAGAGAATTAGTTTTTTTTTATCTGAAGAAGAATGCAGAATGCTTGTTAGAACAAGAATGCTTGTCTAACAAGAATTGTTATTAACAAGAATTGTTGTTTCTTGTTAGAATTGTTATTAAAATTCATAAAATTTCATATTTTACCTGATCATCTTTAAACAAAGTCAACGGATCGGCAAAGCACATTAAAAACAACTGAATTAGCACAAGAGGATAGTAAACCAAATAGGAGAGATATTTGAAGAAATCTGTTTCAGCAACCAACTGAAAAGTTTTTTTTATTGCTTAGAATTGTAATAGGATTATAACTTAGAATGTTAGACACAATTACTAGAAATTACTAGACATAAAAGCATTGCAACTAAGCATGTTAACTCGTCTCCTTTTTTTGATCCGTTTGCCGTTTACAATCTACCGTAAATACTGTAATAGTACCCCACCGCCCTCGTACAGTCGCATAGTCGCAAAAGTTTTTTAGTATTTCATTTTTTCCAAAGCACCCGTACTTTCAAAAAATAGCCCTGAATTTCAGCTATTTTTTGATACCAAAGCGAGCATTGTAGCATAAACCAGTGTCAAGAAAAACGCGTCCAAAGCTAGACTACGCAACGCTCCGTACCGTCATTATCTTTGGTATCAAAAAATAGCCCTGAATTTCAGCTATTTTTTGATACTAAAGCGCGCATTGTAGCATAAACCAGTGTCGAGAAAAACGCGTCCAAAGCTAGACTACGCAACGCTCCGTACCGTCATTATCTTTGGTATCAAAAAATAGCCCTGAATTTCAGCTATTTTTTGATACTAAAGCGCGCATTGTAGCATAAACCAGTGTCGAGAAACACTCGTTCAAAGCTAGACTACGCATTTTCCTTGGATTTTCCCTCATTTGAATCAAAATTTTCTATCGAATAAAATGAAATTCAACGCTTTTCAAACAAAACCAGGAGTAGTCAAGAGGTTATGAATCAGTCATGTTCAAACAGTCCTTTTTCGGTTCGTTTACCGTCGGCAAAACCCGGCAAGGTAAGAGCAAAAAATTTAGATTGGTAAACGAATCGAAAAAGGAGAGGAGTTAACATGACTGATTGAATATGACTGATTGAATGTGACTGATTGAATATGACTGATTGAATATGACTGATTCATCACCTCTTTACTACTCCCGATTACGATCCACGTGTAGAATTCAGGTGCTCCAAAGAAAGCGAAAAGAAGCCATGTACAAAAGAGGACTCCCGATGAGCGGATACCCCTTCGACGGCATTCGTTCTTCATGAATGACAGCATTGCCTAAAATTCATAAGAGTTCATTTATTGCACAACTACAAGCTTTGGCTAATCTTTGAGCAGTTGAAAAGATTAATTTTTGATTTTAGACTAGACCTGCTTAACGAGTTCGGACAAAATTTTCAGACAGTCTGCCTAGCTCTTCGATTTTTTTTACTGCCCAAAGCTTTTCCAAGGATGAAACCCAGTTCCTCCGCAAGCCCTTATTTTAAGCTTCATTTTTATACTAAACATGACTAGGTTCTGTTTTGTCATTCTTTAGATTTCGATCATTTTAAATAAATATTTTTCTGGATTCGTTAAGCTTAAGTCCGGCGAAAGATTGATCGAAATCTAAAGAATGACAAAACAAAACCTAGACATGTTTAGTATCAAAATGAAGCTTAAAATAAGGCCTTGCAGGGGAGCTAGATTTCATGCTTGAAGGAGCTTTGTGTGATAAAAAAATCGAAGAGTGAGGCAGACTGTCTGAAAATTTTGCCCAGACTCTTTAAGCAGATCTATTTTAGAAATTCTCAGTCCGGTAGACTCCATTTTTTAATTTTATATGCAAGTTTTGTGGAAATTGCAATGTTGTACTCACAAATGTTGCTGTTTGCACGATCGGATACACGAGATTCACGGTGGGCACCGGATTCTTCAACCAAAATTTGTTGAAAATGCTTAAAACGAGTACAAAAGCTCGATCAATGATTAGAAGTGTTAGCACAAGCTAAAATTTTGATCTTGAAATGAAAATCCATTAGCAAATACCCATTTCATGCTTTGTATCGTTGTCCATGGTAGGGGCTCTTGACGCGAGAGTTTCAACTGTGTGAATAAAATTGGTAACAATAACCAGAAGAAGAAACACGGGATGGCGATGAGAACTGAAAAGAAGCCTTTATGAAGCTTGAACTTGAAGCTTTTCTGAAAAGATTAGAAAGATAAGCTTTATGTTACCTGTATGTTGCTGTATGTTACCTGTAAGTTGCCTGTATGTTGTAGTTACTGTAGTTACCTGATAAGCTGTATGTTACCTGTAAGTTACCTGTATGTTGAAAGCATTCCGTTAAAATCGGCAACCCAGACGTTCGATTATAGAGTGGTTGAAAATTGTCCTAAACAAAATTGTATTCAAACGAGTTTCAAAGTCAATCAATCTTTCCCTATCAATTACAGCTTTCTATTTTAGTTTAAGACTCTTAAATTATTAAATAACTAATCAATAAAGTATAATGATTAGATAAAGTTTAGAAATATAGTCTGAATGCTAGTTAAATGATAACATTGCTCTGATTATAAAAGGAAAAATAGAGAACTAGAGCTTTAGGCAAAGCTATGTTAAAGCTTAAAAAGATTCTTGATCTCCAAAATGAGTCTAAAGCAAAAATAGAGAACTAGAGCCTTGAGTAAAGCTATGTTCAAGCTTAAAAAGATTCTTGATCGCCAAAATGAGTTTAAAGTAAAAATAGAGAACTAAAGCTTGAAGTAAAGCTATGTCAAAGCTTGAAAAGATTCTTGATCTCCAAAATCTTTTCTCCAAAATGAGTTTAAAGCAAAAACAGAGAACTAGAGCTGAAGTAAAGCTATCTTAAAGCTTGAAAAGATTCTTGATCTCCAAAATCTTTCCCAAAGTCATTGCTTTGGTTTAAATTGTTGACAAACAAATAAAACAAATCACAGCCTGTTTTGTTTCCCTTGCTACAGCTCAATAGATAAATTTTCCCGTAAATTTACCTACCTATTAGCTTAAGAATATGAAGACCTAGATCAAAGTATTACAAATGAAATTTCTTATTTACAACTATTAGGTTGTAGGGTTTTGAATCCGAATTTTTTACTTATTTTGAATCCTTGTATAAAAAAATATTTATTTTAAGAACGAAGCGCTTAAAAATTAGTCCGTTTTGTATCATTAGAAAGGTAAATTTGTATTCTAGATTCGGCTTTTCAGCGCTTTTTGAAAAGCTTCTTTTTTGGGATTTTTCCGGGGTGCAAAGACAAGTAATCAGAGTCGTCAAAAACCGAAACTCGGTGTTGGGTTGAGCTTCTGCAAAAGCTTCTGAGTGTTGAGCTTGTGCCAAAAGATTGGAAACCGTAAAATCGTCACCAACTCGGCTCGCCCGGGTGCACTACTATTAGAGAAAATACGGTAGTTGCGCAAATTTCAAACTCAAATGCAAATAAAATGTAAAATGTAAAATCAAAAGCTTTGAAACTTCTGGAAGTAAAAAACCATTTACCAAAAAATCAAAATCTTTCCTCCTAAAGATACTTTGGAAAATTAAGTCTCTTTTATCATTTATCTTTCTAATTCTAAATGTTTCTACGACAAAAATTCACTTTCAATCCCTTGATAAAGCTTGGTTGCTGTGTTACCGTATTCTCTCTGATAGTAGTGCCCCCTGAGCGTTATCTAAATTGCTCTAAATCTAAAAAAGCGCTTATCAGAACCTATCGATATGGGGTCGGAAAATGTAGCTGACGATCAGATCTTGTGGGGGATTTGAGTGTTGAGCTTCTGGGAAAACTTTGAAAACCATAAAATAGTCATCAACTCGGCTCGCCGGAATGCACTACTATTAGAGAGAATGGTATTTGTGGAATCGATTTGGAATGTTTTTTACTTGAAAACTTTTGAACAACTCTTTTTCCATATATCAGCAAATTTATAGCCAAATCTGTACAGCCGTTTTTTTCAGAATTTTTATTTAAAGAATGCATTAAAATAAGGGTATTTGCCTCATTCATTTGAGAGTTTTTGAACTTTTTGAACAAATTTGAAACATTTAGAAAAAACGGTTAGACGATTTTGGCTGAAAATTTGATAGAAAATGTATCAATGCTTCGTCTTTTATTTGAGCGAAAAAAGTGAATGCTAACTTTCCATCGAAAAAGTCCATCGTTTAGATTTTGACTACATGTCTTTGAATTCATGAAAAATCGCCAAAACTGAAGCTTTTCAAGAAAACGCTGAAAAGTTTAATGTAGAACACAGATTTACCCTTTCTAATGATACAAAAAGGGACTAATTTTTAAGAGCTTCTTTCTTAAATAAAAATGATTTTGTGAAAAAATTCGCATTGAAAAGCCGAAAGCCGAAATATTACTCGAATTGCTGCAAAAATAAATACAACTTGTTATACAACAGCTTGTTATACAACAGCTTGTTATGCAACAGCTTGTTATACAACAACTTGTTATACAACAACTTGTTATACAAACACTTGCTTACAGTTGTAACCCTTTAAAAATTCTCGATAAACAACAACTTCTCACCCAAAAAGGATCCCCACAAAATCCGATTTCAAAATCGGGATCGTTTAAGTCGGATTTCATAGCTTCATCACCGGGAAAATAAATGATTTTGATGTTGTCTGGATTGAGAAAAAGATTTTCGAAAAATAAAGTTGGAAATTAAGAGAGTGACCGGCCTCTTTTCCTAAACATATCTTATCTATTTTTGCCTCTTTTTGGAGGTCTCTCACGGCTTTAGATTGCCCCCGGTCTTCACCCCGTTTCTCTTCCCCTTTTACTCCAGCCGCGACACTTTTTTTCCCTTGGTTTGAAACCGCGCCGACTTGGTGACTTGAGGGCACAACCTAGAGAATTTGTGTTTGATAATCAATGCAAATATTGGTCCACAAACTCGTCACAATGTTGATAATCCAAAATACAAGCAGTTCTCAGGGAGTGAAAGGATTTTAATGATGACCGATACAAAAGTACTTGTGGATTTTGAATCACATTGCATGAGATATCTCTGATTTTTGCTGTATGTTTTCTTCAAAGAAGCTTACTGTTTGTTAGATCAGATAAGAATGGGCAAACTGGTAACTGTTTGAGTCAATCTTTCACAATCATTAACCTTTGTCGAAGTCAATCTTTCACAATCACTACAGGGTGCGGCATAGGTTACAAGGTTGTAACATTGATTTAAGAAACTGATTGATTTTTATTTCTTGCTAAAGGATTATTTTTTCTTAATTTGAATGCTTTTTTATATTATGTAGCAGTTTTTTTAAGCAAATTTTTAAGTTTGGACATAATGGTGAAGGCTTCTCCCAACCGTGCCGCTATTCTTCAGCTTGAAGCACAAGGACGATCAACTTCGGATATTGCCAAACTGCCGAAAATGCATCGAATGACGGTATACCGCATTTTGCAACAAAATAGAGTCGAAGAGCTTCCTAAAAGTGGACGTCCGCAAAAAATTGATCACACGAGACTCAAGAACATCATTAAGAAACGAATCAAGCGCAATCCTGCACGAGATGAGCATGAGAAAAATGGCTCCCCAATTGAATGTTTCTGATAAAACTATTCGTCGTATCGTCAAAAAAGATCTGGGTCTTCACCCTTACAAGTTAAGGAAGCATAATGGCTTGACGGATCTTCAAATGAGAAACAGGAAGCAAAAATGTGCTCTTCTTCTTGCAAGAGCGGCAAATGATGAGCATCTGACGACGCTTTTTACCGACGAGAAATTATTCAACATTGAGCAAGTTTTCAACTCTCAAAATGATCGAATTTTGGCTCACAGCCCTCAAGAAGTAAATACAAGTGGCCGATTTGTGGACTGGAACTCACATCCAGCAGGAGTCATGGTTTTTGCAAGGGTGTCAGCGACTGGTCTCACACCGTTGATTTACGTTGATAAAGGGCTGAAAATTAACACAGACGTGTATCTGGACGTCCTCACAAAACATGTACAGCCGTGAAGTCAAGGACATTATCAAAATCAGCGCTGGACGTTGATGCAAGACGGTGCCCCAGCGCACAAAGTAAAAAAGACTCAAGAGTGGTGTCGAAACAATTTGCCCGACTTCATTCCCGCCAATGAATGGTCAGCTAATTCGCCCGACCTCAATATTATGGATTTCTGTGTTTGGGCAATTTTGGAGCAAAAAGCATGCAAACGTTAAAAGTCTGAAAAAAGGCTCTGAAGAAAGCCTGTGCGGAAATTCCACAAAGTATTCTGCGGGCCGCCGTGGAAAGTTATCCAAAGCCGTCTTAAAGCCGTTATCAAGAATAAAGATGCTCATATTGAATAATTTATTATTTTTTAAAATGAATATGATTATTGTTGTTAAGTTTTAAATAAAGTTTACATGAATCCGTTCATATTTCATTACGATACACGGTTCTGAGTCTGTAACCATACTTACACTACTGGACAATGAAATATCATATTTGAAAAAACACTTCCGCACTTTCGCGCGTCTGTAACTCCCTTGTCTTTGAGTTTAAACTATTAGTGTTATACATTTTCTGAAAGCTCTTTTCAAGGGCTACACAATGGTAATATTAATATTTAGAAATACGGTAAAGACAAGGGAGTTACAGACGCGCGAAAGTGCGAAAGTGTTTTTTCAAATATGATATTTCATTGTCCAGTAGTGTATGTCGCACCCTGTAATTCTTTGAGATGGTAAAATAGATCAACAAAAGTTTCCGCATGAACAGAGGTAGTTCAAAAAAACATAAAAGATCAAAGGATGACAATATTTTTAAATAAAAATATTGTCATCCTTTGATCGCTTCATTAAGTCTGGACGTCCTCACAAAACATGTACAGCCGTGAAGTCAAGGACATTATCAAAATCAGCGCTGGACGTTGATACAAGACGGCGCCCCAGCCCCAGACTACCAGTCATTTCTTTACTTCCAAAACCGGGATGCTCTATGAGTTCTCCCAGCTCGTTTAAACACCAAATTTTTTCACGATCCCCATAGTTGGTTGGATGATCGAGTAAAATCAAAATAATCTTTTGAGTCCTCAGTTTTTGGCACTTTATCTGAGGCACTTGAGTTCGAATTCAGCAACACAATGATCAAATCCATTTGTGATTTGTGACAAATCTTATGCCGCACCCTGTAACCGAGTGGATTTTATGCTTACCCGTTTCACTCACTGATCCACCGGATATATAGATTTTTTCTAACAAAATTTTCGATAGCTCAAACGATATTTTGAATCATTGTATACTGATAACACTATCAACTGGTTTATCCTTATTTTTCTGCAACAAGGAAATGACGATGAGAGATGTATCGACACGAATTTCTTCATCCAGTACAGACTTCACCCATTGCATAGGTATTGAAAATATTTAGAAACATTTAATGAAAGAATCTTATCGTTTTTCCCTAAAAATCCTCTTTCCCAAGGGACCTTCAACGTGTGTGAGAGGCTCAATTTCAAACTCATCTCCCGTTGTCGTTCTCTTCGATGTAAAAGTGGAGCACATTTGGGAAGAAATGGAAAAAGGAACTGACTGAGACGGGCAAATTTTCGAGGTCTTGAAATACGGCCCTTTCCTTTTTGTGAGTCACAAAAAAAAACAAATGAGAAGAGTGCCCTTTCTTTTTGCTCACAAGTTTTTTAATGTTAAAAAATACTGCTTATAAGACAAATTATATATATGCTTTATTCATTCATGGGGCGAATAGAAGCGAATCAGATATTTTTGGTGTTGGTTTTGGGTTTTTGGAAAATTGGTTTCATTGTCAGTCAAAAATCATTTACAAGACAAGAACGATTTCCATTCAAGTAAAATTTGATCTTACAAACGTTTAAAAGATGTTATAGCTTCTGAAAGATCTATTGGGTTGATGCATAATTATCCGGACTTCTTTTTGCGTGCTTGTATCTTTTTTGTTTTGAAAGCTTTTTGTCTATTTCTTTTTTTAAAATATTCGTTATTCTTTAGTGAACAAAATGCGTGTCGACAATCATATCCATCTTCGCCATATCATGCTCTACCACTTCGAAAAGGGATGGTCTGCCGCAGAGTCGTTTCGCGATCTCAAAGAACTGGAGAAGCCCCAACGGACTACCACGTCAATCGATCGCTCAAAAATTGGCAAACAAATAAGATCTACAACGATTTGGATGACTTGATAGACGATGTTAAAGCGTGGATTGCCTCCAAAGATCGTTTATTCTTCGCTCGTGGAATCGATCGTCTTCCAAGCAAATGGCAATCAGTTATTGATGTAGGCGGTGAATATGCTCCAGAATAATCAATTAAACATATTTTTCTAACTATTTATGTTATTTTTTGTTAAATAAAATCATTTATAAAAGAAGTCCGGATAATTATGCATCAACCCAATAGTTTTGGTTGTTCTTAATCTATTTTTCATGATTCATGAAAGGATTTTAATGAACGAGTCTGATAAACATCTTAAAAAAAGAGCTTTAACTGAAGTTAAAGACATTTTAAGCCCTTTCTTTTTGCTCACAAGTGTTTTTTTTGTGTTGAAAAATAATGCTTATAAGAAAAATTGGTTTCATTGCTTAGCCACATCGATTCTCCCAGGCAAAATGCACAAAGTTTCAGCCTGAAAGTAAAAGATCTCTCAAAATACTGATATACCGATGAATTCTGATCGCAATAAGCTTTTTCCACAAAAAAAATTCACCTTGTTTGTAACGAAAAACGGATCCGCGCATCTTCCATCGCTTCCGATCTTTTGTGCTTTCCCAATATGCTCATAAAAAGTGTCATAGAACTAAAACAATGAAAAGCTCCAGAAAAAGAATAACTTACATTCAAATTGCTTGGAGATTCGTGCATTCCTTTGACTAATTCCAATAGTTCTTTTGCTGAATCCTCCTCAATCAGATTTGGGACAAAATTCGCGAGATAATTCGTTTGACAAAACAAAATTGCCAGTCAAAAATCATTTAGCAGACATGAACGATTTCCATTCAAGTAAATTTTGAACTTACAAACGTTTCAAAGAAGTTATAGCTTCTGAAAGATCTAGTTTTGGTTGTTCTTAATCTATTTTTCATTATTTCAATGAACAAGTCTGATAAACATCTTAAAAAAAAGAGTTTAACTGAAGTTAAAGACATTTTAAGTTTAATAAGCTGATTAAATATCTTCATTTTTCTAATATACTATGATTGAAAGGATATTTATCGCATTGGATTACATCTAAACTTTTAAAGTTTCAATTCTAAGTAAACCATTGTAAGCTAGTAATTTGTAAATGGGGAGTAAGCCAGTAAATTCCTTTTGTAAGCTATTGAAGCTGGAGATCAGTGTTAATATTTGTACGATTTAAATCATAAACTTAAACTAAACCGAAACCGTTATTCCTGTTGCAAAATTTTTCTTTTTTCTTTGCAAGTCAAAAAAAAAAAGTGAACAAATGAGGGGAGTCTCTCTGCTGCTTGCCTCTCACTACCCTTCCCTTCCAACTCTTCTCTCTTTTCTCCACTCAATTCCTTTTTCTCATGATGCTCATTTTTCTTCAAGCCATTCCTTTTCTTCTCCTTTTTTTTCTCAAATCGTTCCAGTAGGCATTCAAACCCGATTTCAATC